GGATGCTGTCCACAAAGCAGCTCCTCGAGTGTGTCAGGCAGGGAGACTGGATGTCCTCCATAGACCTGACAGATGCGTACTTCCACGTGCCAATAGTGCCGGAACACAGGAGGTTTCTGCGCTTCGCAGTGGGAGAGAGGAATTACGAGTACTGCCGTCTCCCCTTCGGTTACGCACTCGCGCCTCGGACTTTTTCCAAATGCGTGGAGGCAGCACTGGAGCCGCTCAGACGCGCAGGGGTAAGAATTTTAACCTACATAGACGACGGTTAATTCTGGCCTCATCCAGGGAAGTGGCCGTGAGCCACACGCACTGGGTCCTGTTCCACATACAGCGTCTGGGCTTTGTGGTGAACAGGGAGAAAAGCAAGCTGCAGCCAGCTCAACGCATGATTTATCTCGGTCTGCAGTTAGACTCTGTGACATTCCGTGCTGCATTGTCCGTGGACAGACGGATGAACATTACCCGTCTGGCCAGGGAGGTTCTGGCGGGCCCCAGAGTCCCCGCTCGGCGCCTCAGGTCCCTGCTGGGAATGATGGCGGCGGCTCATGCTGTGGTGCGGCTAGGCCTTCTCCACATGAGGAATTTTCAGAGGTGGTTCTCACGCCTCAGGCTTCACCCCTCCCGGGACGGGGGGAGGCTGATCTGGGTTCCCCAAGTGGCAGCATCGGACATCAGGTTCTGGCTCACTCCGGGTCTATTGCGGGACGGAGTGACTCTGGCCTGCGCCGTGTCTCACGTGGAGGTGTTCACGGACGCGTCGCTCGAAGGATGGGGCGGGGTCCTCGGCCAGAGCTCTGTAGGAGGCTGCTGGTCGGACTCAGCCCGTCACATCAACCTGCTGGAGATGGAGGCAGTGCACAGGGTAGTGCTGCACTTTGCTCCTCAGCTGCAGGGGAGACACGTGATGGTGCGCTCAGACAACACCACAGTGGTCTCCTATCTGAACAGGCAGGGGGGCACCAGGTCCCCCGCTCTCCATCGCATGGCGACGTGACGCTGCTGTGGGCGGCGCTTCACCTCCTGTCTCTCAGGGCGCGCCACGTCCCGGGGGTCCGGAACGTGGGGGCCGACAGGATGTCCGGGGGGGGCCACTCCAGGACGAGTGGGGCCTGGCCCCACGGGTAGCTGCGGAGATCTGGCGGAGGTTCGGCCGTCCAGTGGTCGACCTTTTCGCCAGTGCAGAAAACGCACAGTGCCCGTCCTGGTTCGCCTTAAGGGCCGCGGACGAGCCGCCCTTAGGCGTGGACGCTCTGGCTCATTACCCCTGGCCAGGGGGCCTGCTGTACGCTTTCCCACCAGTGCGTCTCCTGCCGGTCCTGTTTCGGAGGATCGAACAGGAGAGGAGGTCGGTGATCCTGGTGGCTCCGGACAGTCCGAATGCCCGGTGGTTCCCCTTCCTGAGGGGCATGGCGGTGATGGAGCCCTGGGCCCTCCCGGACGAGCCGGGGGCTCTAGTCCAGGGGGGAGGAGCCCTGTTTTCACGCCCGATAATCGGCCGCAGGCTCTGGGTTTGGAGGTTGAGAGGCGGAGCCTCGTAGATCTGGGTCTTCCCCCTGCGGTGGTGGAGACCATTCAGGGGGCGAGGGCGCCGTCCACTGTGAGGGCCTACGCCACGGGGTGGAGGCTCTTCAGCGACTGGTGCGGTTCCCGTTCCTGGGATCCCAGGCGTTTCCCGCTGGAGGGGGTCCTGGGATTCCTACAGGAGCTCTTTGACAAGGGGAGGGCTGTCGCCACCTTGGCGGTGTTCGCGGCAGCAATTACTTCGGGTCACGACGGATTCGGGGGGTTCACAGCCCGCTCTCATCCGTTGGTTAAACGTTTTCTGCGGGGGGCGCGCAGGAGGAGGCCCCCGCTCCAGAGAACGCCCCCGGTTTGGGACCTCAGGGTGGTCCTTAGGGGGCTGTCGGGTCCGCCTTTTGAACCGGCGGCGGAGGCGAGTCCCGAGTGTGTCGCTTTTAAGACGGCCCTCTTGTTGGCGTTGGCGTCTGCTAAGAGGGCGGGCGACTTGTGTGCGCTCTCGGTCCATGCGTCTTGCCTGTCCTTTGGAGAGGGCGACGGCATGGTGGAATTGTGGCCCAATCCGGCTTTTCTCCCCAAGGTCATCACGTCGGCCTTTAGGTCGAGAGTCATCAGGATTAGGGCTTTCTATCCGCCACCGCATGCCTCCCCCGAGGAGGAGCGGCTGCACCTTCTGTGTCCTGTCAGAATGCTGAGGCATTACCTGGCCATGACGTCGTCATTCAGGTTGGGTGGTCAGCTGTTTGTGTGTCTGGGCCCCAAGAACAGGGGCGCCCCGCTGTCGGCTCAGCGGCTGGCGCACTGGGTCGCCACGGCTGTGCGGCGGGCGTATCAGACGCAGGGTCTGGTCCCCCCGGTGGGCTTCAGGTCGCATTCCATGCGTGGGATGCGGCCTCTACGGCCCTTCTCAGGGGGGCGTCGGTCGAGGACGTCTGCCGTGCGGCTTCTTGGGCGTCGTCCTCCTCTTTCGTCCGGTCTTATCTTTTGGATGTGTCGGACCGGTCGGTGGCCCATTCCGTGCTGAGTGCAGCGGACTGAGTTAGACCGTTAGGTCCCTCCTCTTAGGGGGCCTTCGGTTTACTTTCCGCCCTGGTTCAGGAGCTCTTGGGAGAGGCATCCTTCAGGTGCGGTACATATATGTGTGTTTGGTCGGTCAGGTAGTCCACGTCAGGAGCTCTTGGGAGAGAAGTCCTGTGACTACGGATGACCTACGGTCTGTGTTACGTGGGGGTATCCTTGGTAGGAGTGGCCCTGTAACACGCATTGTTTCTTCTGCCCTGAGTCCTCTCACTGTGTGAGGGTCTTGCTCGGGCGGAGCTCCAATAACCCTTCGCTGGCCTTCGCTGGTCAACAGCATGCTGACCCTTCGCTGGAGATGGAATACCACCTTGCTGAAGTACTGGAAGCCCCACCTTCTGTCGGGTTGTCCTACAGGGTATGCTCCCAGAACCGCATGACCCTTCGCTGGCCTGCTGCTTGGGGCTCTCAATGTCTGCTAATATGGCACCATGCCGCGCATAGCAGTGGGGCGAGGTGACGTGGCGTCCATAAGGTATGGCTAGGCAGCTCCCCCACTCGGCGAACCTCACCCCAGGACTGGCTGTCCATCGCATCTCTCACTAGCGGACACCTATCAATAGCGTCTTGTCGTCGAGCAACTTCATTTATTTGGTGTATGAGCTGATAGAGCTCTAGAACATACACACCACTAGCGTGCTGTGGGGTGAAAATGGTATCGTTTCTATATATAATAAGGGTGTTGGCGGGTTGGGGCACATTAACTCGGGGGCACGCGTTTGACTGCATGGAGGTGAGCGCTCGCGTCGAGTAAGGGAGTGTCTACTATGTTGTCACACACCACACACAATTACGGTCGGCCGTGAGCGAGAGATGTGAGTGATCACACCAACCTCACACTTTGTGGTGCTGAGAGATGTTTGAGCGCTGTGGCATCTCGCCCACAATCTACTTGCGAGCGAGAGTAGAGAGAGAGCGCGAGAGATGTGGATTTGATGCTCGGCTCAATCCGCTCGCGCCCGAGCGCGGCCTCTTTGTATGTGATAGTGACCCCGCGACCTAGGGAAGTTTATGTGAGTGAGATGTAGAGTAGATGCTGGGGACAATGGAGCGAGAGAGCGAGTGCGCGTGGTATGACACGGGTTTATAAGTAGGGAAAACACAACATCGAACTGACTCCCCCACGCTCACAGCGGTTTGATTGGGGGGTTATTAGTGGGGGGGGGGATGTGAGGAGGTGTTTAAGATATTTGGATTAATTTAGTTATATTGGTGGGGTGTGTTTAAGTGGTGGGGTAATTGGGGGTTAAGATTTTGTGCCCCATTAAGACACGGGATCGTGATGAGAGAGAGAGTGACGTCTCTCTATCTCACACACACACACAGAGTGGCCACAGAACACACTCTCACACACAATATTCGTGGCCCACCCCCGGCTCCGCCCGCTACACCCACCCTGCCAGTGGGCAGGTATTCACCATGTCCGGAACCCACACCCCTTAAACTGGGTAATGTGAGTGGATTGTGTGGTATGGGGGGTTGTTGAGGGTTACACACACATGAGCACATATGCCGCGCGTCAGCGCCTAGCGTCATTACATGCCGAGGTTACGCTAGTCTCTGAGCTCTTCACTCTTTCTCTCCTATCAGTGTAAGGCTAAAACTCAAGATTTTAGAACAAGACAATTAGATCCGTGTGAAGGGGATGTGTTGTGAGTGGGGAGGGATCATTGGGGGGTATTACTAACTAGTTCTCATCGGGAGGGGGAGAAGGAGCATGAACCATACTACCACGCAAACCACACACAACGCAATGAACTCTACCAACCCAACTGGCACCTCAGTAAAGTTGAAACTATATGTAGTGAGAGACCATTAACCGACCACCACATAATACACGCTCTCTGACCCAGCGATACAAATGTATATGGGATTTCCCGGCCAGCAGCGCACTCTCAAAAGCACGATGTCTCTCCATCGAAAAAACAACACCACTCCCACGTGATATATATATATATATATATTAGAAGGTTTTGTGGGGGGGGGTGGGGTGTTTGGGTTTTTTGGTCAATCGCTCTACTCTCGGTGTAGTGTAGGAGATCTAACTGCCCCATACAGAGCCACCGTTACTAGATCAGCGAACAATCACATATATAATAGCACTATCTCTGTTTGTACCTATTGTCTTCGCAGGCAGGATCTACTACAATCCAGTATTCCACTAAACAGTACACACACGGTCTCTACACACACATCATCTACACTCCAAACAGCGTCTCCAAATGAGCCGCCACTCAATATACGAGCGCTAGAGAGCGTGTGAGGTAATCTCCAGCATAAGACTATATATTAATCTCTGACGTGATGAGAGTAGTGTGGTGTCTGATAAGTCCACATAAGAGGCTTAAAATCGCTGTGAGAATTTGGAGAGGTGGGTTAGAGCAACTGTACGCAGCACAGCGATGGATGTGGAGGTAGATATCACAGAGCAGAGACATACCTTAGTCTGCGGCCACACTCAATAGTAGCCCATGCAGATTCATCTATACATAACTCATAACAAGCCTTAAGCGATCATTGTAGAGAAGATAACATATGCACGCACGACACCACGCGTCCGCCTCGCGTAGGGGAATCAACACACTCCAAGAGGGGGTGGAAAGGGGGTGGGGGATTTTGGGGTTTGTAGTTTAAGTAGTGTAGTTTGGTGTTGGTGTGGGGGAAGGGGTTTTTGGGGGGTTTGTGGGGGGGGTGGGTGGGTGGGTAGGGTGTGGGGTTGGGTTGGTAGAGGGTGGTGTTTGTTTGTTTGGGTGGGTGGGGGGGGTGGGGGTGGGTGGTTGGGGGTGGGGTGGGGTGTTTGGGGTGGTGGGGGTGGGGGTGTGGGGGTGGGGTTGTGGTGGGTTGTGGGGTTGTGGGGTGGGTGGGTTGGGGGTGTGGGGTGGGGGTGGGTGTGGGTGGTGGGGTGGGTGGGGGGGTGTGGGTTGGTGGGGGGGGGTGGGGGTGTGGTGGGGGGGTGTGGTGGTGTGGTGTGTTGGGGTGGGGGGGTGGGGGGGGTGGGGGGTGGGTGGGGTGGGTGGGGGGGTGTTGGGGGGTGGGGTGGTGGGGTGGGTGTGGGGGGGGGGGGGGTGGGGTGGGGGGGGGGTGGGGTGGGGGGGTGTTGGTTGGGGGTGGGGGGGGGGGTGGGGGGTGGGGTGGTGGGTGGGGGGGGTGGTGGGTGGGTGGGGGGGGGTTGGGGGTGTGGTGTGGGGGTGGGTGGGGGTGGGGGGTGGTGGGGTGGGGGGGTGGGTTGTGGTGGGGTGGGTGGGGGGTGGGTTGTGGTGTTGTGGGGTTTTTGGGTGGTGGGGGGGGGTGTTTGGGGGGGGGTTTGGTGTTGTGGGGGGGTTGTGGGGGTTTTGGGGTATTGTTTTAGGTGGTTTGGGGGTTGTTGGTGTTTTGTTTGATGGAAGTAGATAATGTGGTTAAAAATAATGTTAATTTTATAGGAGAAAGAAAAGAGATGAGAGAAGAGAAAGAAAAGTGAGAAGAAAGAGAGGAAAAAGATAGAATAAAGAGAGAAAAAAAGAAGAGAGAATATTAGATATAAAGAAGAGAGAAAGAGGATAGAAAAGGAGAGAAAGAAAATAAAAGAAAAGATAGAAGAGAAGAGAAGAAAGAAGAAAAATGAGGAAAAGAGAGAAATAAGCGAGAGAAACAGAAGAAGAGAAGAAATAAGATAAAACAGAGAGATAAAAGAGAAAGAAAAGAGAAAGAAAAATGGGAAGAGAAAGTAGAATAGAAAAAGAGAGGAAAGATAGAAAAATGACGCTCAATTTAGAAATGTGGTATACATATAGATGCAATATTTTAGCTAGTTGTATAGAGAGAAGGAAGAAATTGTGAGTTTGTTGGGGGGACAATGTGTGGAGGGTGTGGGATAATTGCTTTGGTATTGTTATTTTTTTTGGATAGAATTTTTGTTGTTATTATTTGTTTTTGGGATTTGATTTATATGGTTTTTGTAGTTTGTGTTTTAGAAAGTATTTGTTATTCGTCACACAAATATAACATTTAATAGAGTTATTAAAAAGATTTATAATGAATTTTTTATACTTTTCTTCTAGCAGGTAGAGACGCGGGAAGTTATGGGTATGTGTTAGTGTTTGCCAGATTATACTGACGCGCTGCAATCAACAACAACAAGGAGGAAAAGAGTTGTCTCAGGTTTGCGCTGGCATCTCTAAACATTTATAATAATTACATAAATATATCAAATAGATACTTTAATTAGTATTTATTATTTATTATTGCTGTGATATAGGACATCATTTTGTGTGTTAACCAGCTAGTGTAGTGATTTTGATCATTTGACTATGGTTATATTTTATTGATCTACCCATGTAGTAGTGTGGTTATCAATAGAAGCACTGCCTTTTTTCTTTTTAATTTCACTGGATTTATGGTTAAATAAATGAGAGACATGTAACAGTGTACTTTTTCGATATAGCGAGAACCGAGCTGAGCTTTTATTCAGGAGTTGCTGCCTTCGTGGAGACTTATATACGGGTGAGAAGGCAAGGAGAGACGGAAAGAAGGGAGAGGCACATAGAATAGCATGGAAGACGGGGAAACGGCAGAGACGGGGAGACATGGGAAGACGAAAAGGAGAGACGGGGAAACAAAAACAAGGAAAGACGGAGAGACGGAAACGGAAGACCGTGAGAACGGGAAGACGGAGAACGGGAGGAGAACGGAGAGCAGGGGGATGACGGTGAACAGGCAGACGAAAGAGACGAAGACGGAAGGCCATGAAACGGGTGATATGGATACAGTCCGCTAGGGTTCCTGTCGCCTCGATGGGCCCGGATCTACATACCACGCGCGTTCGCGAAGCTGTCAATGCACCACAGTTGTCTCCCGTCAAGAGATAAGCCAGCAGAAGTCAAGACATAAATATTATCTCACGTATATCACGGTGTTGTGTCTTCTTTGTTCCAGGAACTTCGACTCAGATACTAGTGAATAATCGCGCGAAAAGAGTGTATACTTTTTCGATATATCTGTAGTAAACGCCGCTTTTGCAATTACTGTTTTTCGAATTGTGAATTGATTTATAAATGTTTTGCCTGTTTCTAATAAACTAGAACATAACTTCCATTTCTACACAGAAATCCCTGTCGTCGACCGGAGTTCAACCCGGACCGTGTGTGTCTAAAGCGGATGCTATATCCACGCTGCCACCGTGCCAACACACGTGTCCACAGAGAAACGGTTGTTTCTAAGAGTACCCAAGAATAATACAGCTACTTTGCTGGCCTGTCATTACGTGGTATGAAATAAATATCTGTCATAGGGCGGTCTTTCTGGTACTTTTATCAAAATATTTCGGATCACACTACTGATTATTTCTCGCCGTGTAAACTAGACCGCTCAATGTCATGCGTGTTGGCCCCACAGACTAAAACTTTTGAGACTCGTTTCCAAAACCAAAAGCGGTCAATCGTGATTTCAATACAATACGTTATCTTTACTGACATCCTGTACCATTTTTCCTAATCACGACAAGTGAGGTGTGTTTTGTGTGGTTTACATTTGTCACAGTTTCTACCATATGATTGTAGATTTCACAACGGGTAAGCATCTGTGTTGGTGATAGGTTAAACTACATCATGTCTAGCTGGGGCAAACCTGTACTGAGCCCTATGTTTTGTCTATCGTACACACTACATGCACCGGGGGCACTGCGGATGTGGAGGCCGCCATGACAGCCGCTCTGATATTATACACTTGCCATTCTGTTTGTATCTGTTTTCGTCGCGTCTCTACCATCGACATTAAAACTTTCTTCTGTCAGATATTGAAGACGCGATCCCAGACTTGTCATCTTCTTCAGGTGTGAGAGCCGGCATTTCTGTAACATCTCGCGAGAACAGTAGACTTATTTTTTTACACACAAATTGTGGTGGTTGTTGCAGCCAAAAACTGAGAAACCCGCATGAGAAGCTGCGATATAGCCCATGGACAATCGGCACAGCCTATTCCCCACCTGCGTTAGACGGCGTACATGACAATCCCAGCGTCCGCGTGGCATTCATCATTTGGTAATAGTGTTTTGATACAAAATTTGGGTCATTATTGGAACAAGCTGAGTTCTGAAGGTGGACTATAAGTTGGACTAATTGAATGGCTGAATCGACACTAAGCTAAACGGCATGTGAAAAGACAAGCAAAGGATGAATATGAGCACTCTTTGATCCGATAAATCAACACGGAGAATTAGAGACGTTTTTTCCAACAATATCGAGAAACTTCACTGAGTGAAGTTTGATGTTTACTGATAGTGTTACAATGTTTAAATATATGATCTGAAAATGTTTTATGAGTTTTCTGAGTTTTTGAAGTACCGAGTATACCCGAGTTTGACGTATAGAGTTATGAGATGTTATGTTGCGTTATCCTCCTGATGGTCACACTGAAGTGTACCAAGGAATGTGAGATTCAATAACACTTTAGAAAGTTAAACTCATCATTCGTTCTTTGTGCAGTAACCTTACGGTGTCCCACTTCAGGTGTTGTCTAGCGGATAAGGCCAAGCTACAAGCACAACGTAAGCTGCTGATTGGGAGGTCTCCATCCTCCGCTCTTATATACACTTGCATTCTGGTGTATCAGTGCGTTCTGTCTGCTCCCTCAACCATTCACAATATAACCGTCTCTTGCTGATCTGATTAGACCGTTCCTATAATTATTCCCTTGGCCTGACGTGTCACACAGTTGGGAGACAGAATATCAACTAAAAATGCGCCAATGTATCATCTGCAGTGAAGTGATCTGGTACACAATCAGATTCTAAGATTCAACAAAAGAGACGCTTAAAAGCTTTCCATGGCCCTCGCTTGCCCCTCGTCTGTCGTCTGCAGTGCGTCGTCCTGTGTTCCTTCGCCCGCGTCCGTGGGCGCCGATAAACGGATGTCACACCATTCCAACCGATACCGCGTCCGTCGAATGGAAGAAGCCCGTCTCCAAACAACGCGTATCTGCTGGGGAGCGCTGTGTCCGGCTTGTCCGTCTCTAATGTCCCCTTTTCCAGCATAATATTGCACATAGACATGTTCATACACTCCGCTGATAGCAATTCAGTAATACAACCTGTTAATTAGCCAACAGTTTCCCGCTCGTGATACCGATAAATTATAGTCCACAATCCACATCGCGGTTAGCATCAAGGACGTGTGCTTAGCGTTCAGCGTGATAATCGGGCAATTGTAGTTCAGATAAGAATATCCATTCACTCCAAACCAACATTTTTAACCCAGTCCTTCAATACATATTGATGTCGTACGCGTGGTCCTCTCATCTACCGCGTCGGGTATTGTATAGCACTAAAACTATGCACTATATTTAATTACTATTCTAATCGATTTTACAAATATGTTTGCATATTTTTGCTTTTAATTGACCCGAGTCTTAAACATATGTTATTGTTATCTAAGAAATCTATCTAGACTGTGTTTGCTTTCAGTAGCGATGGCTGGGCCATTGTTGTGCTTTGCTCATTTTGCCTACATACTTTTTGGGAACCAGAAAGTGCTTCTCTTCCTCCTACTCAGACCCGTTTTGGATAAGGTACATCGTTAATCCAATTGTAGTATCCTTAAAATTCTCTAAAATGGTGGGTGTGTGTAGAGTACTGTGGCCATTCATTACTCCAGTTTGTTCCGCCCGATCGTCCTCATTTCAGATTGGTGGCTTTTGGTTCCAAGGAGTAGCGCATGTCCGCATATCCATACTACTGTCATCCCCTGAAGCTGTCATGTTATCATCTTGCATCTGTATAGAAACAGAGACACAAAGCTACCCCACGTTCCCTCGCTTCGCATGGTGCACCCTGTCTATCACGCCAATGGGCAACAACCATAACGACATTGACAACGTGTGTGACATCAGGGCAAGCAGTAGCCAAATACAGACTTAACCTTAGGATGGTTCTAGTTGTATACTCCCCGTAAATGTAGTTACAAACCCATAGGTGGTCCGCCGCCTCAGTTATCCGCTCACTCGCGTGTGGACCGAAATCACTGTCAGACAAATCAGCAAAGGAGGCCCCAGTACCCCGTGCACAGAGTGATTCATCTGCATGTACTTTCCCCAAGTACTTTCGCTGATTTCTCATCCCAATACGCTCAACTGTTACTCCTGTCAAGTATAGCTTGTTATCCTTTGCATCGCTAGTGACGCTACACCGTATGCGTGGACATAATAATAATGGAATTCCAAGATCAAAAGTAAAAAACCTTACAGAAAACATTGGTATTCCTTGCTCCGTCACACGCCTCTGCACTCCTCATTGCACTCTCACACGCTACATCTCTCACACAGCCGACTCCCCCACGTTAATATTCGTCCAAGTTGCGTAATGCATCGAGCTGTACGTGACAGAACGCACATACATAGTACCCTCACA